TTTAAAATGTTAAAGCCCCGCCCCCTCCCCAACACCACACACATGATTCGACTATTAGTCGACTATAGGCAGGACTTGACGAATCTGATTCGACTATGAAAATCCTTAGTCGGGGACACCCCTAAAAAGAATAAATCATTTTTATGAAACACATTATGCATCTTTGCTATGCTGAAACTATAAATGTAATAGAGCTACATCTAAAAACATGACGTTTATTGAGTTTTGACACAATTGTTCCCAGTGCTCACCACAGCATTTGCAATTTGCAATTTACAATGTGTTTTACAGCGTTGAGCAATGTAGCTAATCACAGACATATCGGTTGATTTCTTGAACGCAATGGCCAATCAGAGGCGTTTAAGTTAATCATAATCCAATCATCGCTCAAAGCGCAGTTTTTGTCCAGTGCTGAACAGGTTTGTAGTGATTATAAAGGGAGGGCTCTTTGCATATTTTTTAGGCTATATAATCCATTTAGAATTTGAATAAAAGTTTCGCTCTTCATGCTGCTGAGGACCAACGGCCACTTACACAGCAGCAAAGTGAGATAGATGGATAGATAGACAGACATTGTTAAAAACAATGCAAACTCACAGATATACTGGAATACACATCACTTTGTTGAGATTGCTCCTCCTTGTGTATTTCTGGATGCTTCATTGGCATCCAAGGCATCTTTTCCAGCTAGTCTTAGGGCACCTCTGTGTTTATTCTTGGCTGATAAGTCATGCGATTCGGGTTTCCTTTCGACACAGCTGATCCTCACACAGAAAGATGACACCTACCGTCCTAAACTACATTGCGTAAATGCTCCATGGAAATGCATGTGCCAGGAGTGCCTGGCAAACATTCAAGGACAAATATGTTAAGGACTCCGGACAGAAGACTTTCATCCGATTACTGACAAATAATCATTACTCAGACAGATCGGAAGTATGGCAAGTGGGCCAATAAATGTGATTCTGGTCTAAAAAAGTCCAGCTATGTCATTACCTTATCATTAATCCCATGCAAGAGTTGTTGAAACAAGAATGAAGCTTCCGATAGGAGCCATCAACCCCCCCAGGAGTAATTATGAAGCTGCTGCCCATAATAAGGTATAATTAGTGACTCAGGTCATGAGGCGTCCTGGTTCAAGACAAAAGGAATTTCCTGTGCCTTGTTTTAGGTCATCCACCGGCAGCTCATTTGGAGAGAGGGAATTCTGATTCTCAAGGTGGATGAAAGTAGGTAAATTAATCTTCAAGAGGACACATCTCTGGCACGATTCTCAAGGTTAAACATGTGTCACAGGAAAGCCTGACACTATAGACTAAAGAAGACGTCTTACAAGGAAAACTTACTCTGTCATGAGACCTTCAGAGGGCCAAAGGGCAAGATCACAACTGATAACCGTTGAGCAACCTCAAGACTTAACAACTTAATTCAGACCGGTTACAATTATTTTATTCGATCTACAAAATTACTTTCAATATTTTTGTATACAGATACACTAATCACTAACATTCACCAAATTAATTTATATGGTACCAATTTTTGCCAATTCACCAGTCAGGATAACCAAATTTCCTTCAATTGTATCTAATGCTTTGAATTTGAATCCATAAGTCTTATTAAGCGTGTTTAAGATGGCTTGAGGCATGGTGACTATGCATCTGTCTCTATGCATCTGAGGTCACATGTGCTCAAAAGTGACTGAGTACAATATGACAGGATGTCCTAAATGCAGGACATGTCCCCAGGGCCAGGCTCACAGATATGCAGCACCGTAATGAGGCCGTCTGCTAATTATGAAATCCACGTGAGGAGAGCAAACCCACACCATAAAAACACAGAAAAAGCACCTTTGACTAGCAATTAGCAATAGCATAAAAAAAGAGAAACTAGATCAGTGATTCCCAAACATTACCAGGGGAGACACTTGTGATTAACTGTATTTTTAATATTTAGGTAGGCTAATGCATATACTGTATTTATGTATGCATGCATGTATATATACACACACACAGTGCAAACGCACAGTGGCCACAGATACACTATGTATATATAAATAAAACAAAATAACAGATTCTAAACAGATTTCTAAAGCTTCAGAAAAGATTAGGAAACACTGAAACCACTTAAATCTTGAGACAGTAGCTATTAAATTATAGGGTGCTGCTTTCTTAATGAAGGAAAGATTTGGGAGAGAGGGATTTCAGGCCAGCATAAAACCATCCTTGAGCACAGCACAACATGGCGAGATTTAAACAAAGTGAATCCCAAACCCATCGCAGCTTAATATTTAGGATGATTCCCCAAAAAATTAGTAAACACATTGTTCTTTTTGTTTGAGTATCCTGACAAGACCAACACACCAACTTTAAGTCGACACCGTCAATAGCAGATGTTAGAGTGTTCAGAAAACCTATATGAGAACCATTATTTTTGCAATAGTATATCCATCCGCTAAATTATATCCATCTGCTAAATTATATCCATTATAATTATTGAAAACATCATTAAAGTAGCCAAAGTATTTAAAAAAGCCAAACACGCCACAGAAACTTCAATATTGACAATGACAAGCATTAATATTCAGCTTTGACATTGAAGTTCTCCATGCATGGATTTAGTCATCATGTCTAGCAGTGCAGGGGAGGTCATAGTTATTTTCTCTACCATGTGGTGATATCACGGCTCTCATCCTACACAGTGATTATTACAGATGTTTCCATGGCAGATCTGCCCTACTTCTGGAGCCAACTCATACTGGCTGCGTGCATCTAAATCGGCACAGAGACAAAGCCCTGAGATCATTCTTGACTGAAACAAGTGTGTTTGGACTCTTGCACCAGTACCACTTGGGGCATTTTGATTAAGTCACAAGTTTTCGCAAAAGCCAAAATTCACAACCCAACAGAACAGAACAGATTGTATGAACAGCCAGTGACTCTGTGCTTGACCTTGATTTGAGCCCTGAGCGGAGGCGTATTTACTGCACTAATGATAAAGAGATCAATTTAAGCAGGGAGTTGTGATCAATACGAGCATGACCACGGTCAGCCTGACGGCCCGTCTTCCTGGGGCACTGAGCCAGGCAACTGTCAGCTCCCTTTAGACAGCAGTGGGACAGGAAGTACCGTGAGATAATAACCAACATGGCCATTGCATGGAAATATAGGGCAGGATGGTACGCCTCCAGCTAGGAGCTCACACTGAAAAAGACATGATATACCATTGGATAAATAAATACATCATAGCCCTAGGCATCAATTATGATGACAAATCAGGGGAGAATAAAACCCATAGATTTACATTGAAGGAGGGAGCACAAAATGTATCCAGCGAGCGACCACAAAATCATAGAGACTTGGGGGTTGACCACCTACCAACCACCCAGAACGCCCTAAAGGCCTGTTCACACCAAGGAGATAGCAATAAAGATATAGTTCTCTAACAATTGTTCTCAATTTAAAGAACAGCAGAGTTCACACTTCACACAACACAGCTATAACGATAATGGCACAGAGAAACTATATCGTTGGAATCACTGATCAGAACGATTTTATCCAGCTGATGAACAATAACAACACTGACAGCCAATCAGAATTCAGCCGGCTGTAACGACCTCGAGCATTTAAAGTGACAGACAATCACACGCTTAGAATAAACAACGATATCGTCTGCTGGTGTGGATGCTAATATAGTTATCTTTATTGTTGCAACCATATAGAACACCCTACAACTGCATCTGAACTTGTAAAAAAGTAGTGCTCTTTTAGTATTATTTATATATAATTATTATTGTTTATAACATTATTTATACATTGTGTGTTGTAATTGAACCCATCACCTTGGCACTGCTAGCATTATGCTCTACCAGATGAGACACAGGAACTCTACTGACATTGAGAGTCTGGATAGTAAATAATGCTCATTAGTGCCACTAAATTTAAGTGCCATTCAATTTGTATTTGTAAATGTATTGCATGGGTTTCTTTTAAACTTAATTGTAAATGAACTGCCTTCCACTGAAATCCCCTGCATAATGCATGAAGAGTAAAGTGCTACTTTTTTGACTGAGCTGCCTTGTGGGTGATTATAGCTGCTAAGTTGTAGGTAGTTATTTACACTAAAATATGTATGACCATATCAGAAATCCCATGGAAGTGAAAAGACGAAGTGCATCTGCCGTGACTGTTTTGACAATCACTATTGTAACTAGTGGAAAAAAACAAACATTATATATATATTTCACCAAACAAATGCAGCCTTGTTGAGCATAAGAGACTTTTAAAAAATCGACTGACGGAGTATAATTGTTCTCAATTTTTTTTTTCTGCTTTTAAATTATTCCAATGCAGGCATTCTTAACAGGCACGAAACTCTAGGTCTAGATTCAAATCGTATGTTGTTGGCCTTATAATTACTATGTTGTCTAAAAAAAAAGTTTGGCTCAATGTGAAGGATCAGCTTGAGGCACCAATAAACATACATGTGATTTGGAGTGTTTGGATGCAAACAGTCATTTGGCAAAAGAGAAAACTCTACTATTTCACATTACTCATCTTATAATCTCTACCCATAAGCCACTGCACACATTGGCCTACATACATTTAAGAGACATTGAAGCGTGACCCATTTCTAGAGGCTTTTACAAAACGTTGCTCGCTCAGGATAACTTCCCAAAAATCAAAGTGGCAGACAAAAACCAGCCCTAGTTTGCCCTCGCTAAAGCATTAAAATCTCTGTATTTGTTGGTCACGGGGAAACTGGAGCTGATGTTCAAAGATCCTAAGTTTTTGTCTGACTAAAGCGATGCATAAGGACATGGGTCAAGACTTCGGGCTGATTTTGTAATGAGCTTGCTAGAAAAAGTCTGACTGCGAAAACCAGCCGTGAATTACAACAGCCGGTCAATAATACGTTTCACACCACACAAAACAGATTTAGGCTAGTCAACCAAGCCACCCATGATTTGTTCGAAAGTAAGCTGCGCCATATATATTTCGTACCTTCTACGCTGTCAGAACACGAGGTTCCAATGCCGGTATCGCCACTGTCCGAGGCAGCGCTGTGACGTCGCCCGCGGCTGCTAATGCCAGTGGCGGAAGAGGAAGCTTGCCATGCTGAGTCGCAGCCTGGGACCCATCCAGGAGAGGACGTGCTCGAACCTAGGAAACAAACAGAACAGGGTTACCATGGAAGAGGAGGAGACAAACAGAGGGATGTCATGTCCAACAAACACATGATTTCAAACTGTTCCACCATTTAACTGTCTATTCACAATGAAAGACTTTTAGTTAAGTCAAGTGAGCATTCAATAACGACAGGGAAGTGCAATTCTCAGGTACAGAAATTGAATAATCAAATGCAAAATAACACTGCATAATCTTCACTGTATAAATTAAATATAGCCTAATCAATCTTTGTTAAAGCTACTAGGGATAATTGCCGAGACAGGCGGTTTGACATAATTTTGGGTGTATGTGTCTGTTCAAGCAAAGGGAACGGAATTCAGCGTTCGCATGCTGACTGCGCGGCTCTGTGTGTGCGCACAGAAAACAGTGCAAGAGTTCAGAATTGGGTTCTCTTTCCTTAAAACCTTAAAACATGCGTCTACTTACATTAAAATGGTTTAAAACTACTTGAATGTTTAAACTGACTCTTCATCATGACTCTATGATGGTTAAACTTTGCAATTAATCCGAGAATCATGTGCGTTTCGTGTGCCTGGTCCGAACGGATCACGTATAAACTACGATCCCTATACTTGACATCACACATCCTGCGATTTGACTATCGTGGATGCGCACATCACGATATCAATACTAAAACGATTTATCGTGCAGCCCTAGTTAGGAATAAAGAAGCAGTGCTCATTTAGAATCAGTTCTATTTACTCAAAAATGTATCAAAAAGAATTGCTACGCTAAGACAACGACACACCATGGAAAAATTATGTTGTACTACATAAAGGTTTGTGAGACTTATACATATGACTCATATGACAAAGAACAGTTTTGTTGTCTTAAAATTAATTCTGTTAGAAATATTTATAGTTTTGTTTATTTGGTACACTATCACTCATACGTTTTTAAGTTTTTTTTAATAAATTAATACTTTTATTCAGCAAGGACACATTAAATTGATCAAAAGTGACAGTAAATACATTTATAATGTTACAAATGATTTATACTTTAAATCAGGTGTGCCCAACCCTGCTCCTGCCGATCGACTGTCCTGCACAGTTCATCTCCAACCCTAATTAAACACACCTGAAGCAACCAATTAAGGTCTTCAGGCTCACTTGAAAATTAAAGGCAGGTGTGTTTAATTAGGGTTGGAGATAAACTGTGCAGGACAGTCGATCGGCAGGAGCAGGGTTGGGCACCCCTGCTTTAAATAAATGCTGTTTTTTTAACTTTCTACTCATTTAAGAATCCTGAAAAAAAATTATAACAGTTACCACAAAAATATTAAGCTGTTTTCTTGACCAGCAAATCAGCATAATATTAGAATGATTTCTGAAGGATCATGTGACACTGAAGACTGCATGGAGTAATGAATATGATGCTGGAAATTCAGCTTTGCCGTCAAAGGAATGAGTTACATTTTAAAATATATTCAAACAGAAAACAGTTCTTTTAAATTTTAATAATATTTCACAATATTAGAGTTTTGGCACCTTTTTTACCAAATAAATGCAGCGATGGTGAGCATAAAATACTTCTAAAAAAAATGAAAAAACTTAAAATCTTACCGACCCCAAACTTTTGAACAGTTTTTATCTGGGCCAAAAGTACTAGCTAAACCACTAAAACAAGGTGAAGTTCAGTGAACCAAATGGTCAGTCTTGTGCTAGAGGGCTTGTCCCAAATATCTGCTGGCCTAATCTAGTCTGAGGTGTAATCCGTTTAGACACCACCATTTAGGCTGTCCTCCGTAACGCCTGCCAGGAAAAAAATGGAATATGAAATCTCTTTTGCTCGTTGATTTGCTTCCAAAGAGAACAAAAATGACTGATTCATAGTACAAAGTTTTGATGAAAAATTATTATGGAGTAGATTACAACATTATTAAAAAATGTAAAGAAAAAACAACACCATCCTTTTCATTACAGGTAGGCCTACTATAAGGAAATCTACAACTCCTGACGTATATGCAGTTTTATTGTGCCATACATCTTAGAAAAGTCACAAACTTGGAGCAATTTTCCTGATATAGCCTAGTAGCTAAGACAGAAAAACAAACAATACTTCAGATGCTTATATGAATCTTAAACCTACAAGAGTTTAAGACCAACAGGAGGCCAAGACCCAGCTGAAATAACCAGAACCAAAAATAGGTCTCCATAATTCCTGGGTGGAAAAACCTCAAGTTCATACCAGTTCATATTAAAGTGATCGACATTAGCCATCGTGACAGAGTATCAGATGAGTAAATTTCCCGGGTAAACATAGGGCTTGTTGTTGACGGGACACCAGCCGTTCTTCAAGACCACCAACAGTTACGCAACGTGATATGAATAATTAAGCATACTGGCAGAGAGACTAGTTAGAATCTGTTGCATCACTGTTCAATATTTAGACAACTTTAAACACACAAACTGTAAAAGCACAAACTACTAAATAACCTAACACTGAATGTGTATTTTACTTTCACCACTGAGCAATTTGCATGCAAGCGATTTCAATATTTGAGTGGGAAAAAATTTATTAAGTAAATTAATGCAATAATTTAAAACACTGACAGTTTCTAACAGTAAAAAATAAAAAAATCTGTTTTAAACATCTAACATTAATAGTAGCTACAAGCATAAAACTATGTAAAATGAAATACTTTACTTTAGAATAACACAAAAATTAATTATTAGATAGTGTTTTATATAAATTATTTCTATTTTAAGGAAAAACATGTCTTCACAAGATTTCACTATTAACTAACTATTAACTATGACATTTGCCTCAGAAAACTCCTAATTACTGCTTATTAGTAAGGAAGTTGTTTAGTTTAGGTATTGGGTAGGATTAAAGGGATGTAGAATATGGTCATACAGAATAAGGCATTAATATGTGCTTTATAAGTAGGCTACTAATAAACACCCAATATCCTAGTAATATGCATGCTAATACGCAACTAGTTAAAAGTGAGAATTGGACCCTAAACTAAAGTGTTACCATATTAATAACCTAATATATACACACAAGCTAAAAAAAATAGGACGTGTGCCACGGCATTGCATATATTAAAGAGACCCCACTGTTAGGGACCCTTGTGTGTCCATATCTGTCCCTTGACCCAAACAAAGACCGCCTGAAGGTGACACGAGTGATGGTCAACATCATAATGCTCATAACGGAACATCACGTATCTAATACATCACAGCCTGAGCGCGCGGAACAACAATACACGAGCCGTTACACGCGCCAGTCTGAAGATCAAACATGGCTGTTCTTATGAACATACTATCTGGCTTGCGGTGTCATTACACAAGCGGTAGGCTCTTACCTATCTTATAAGTGTCGAATCCGTCCTCAAAATCGTTCCTGGCCCACATTGCGTTCGGTTTCACACCGATAGATCCAACAACGAGCCGAGACAAAATGCACGAGCCCACCAAGAACAGGAGGGAGGGAGGAGGTATTTAAGTGAAACCGCATTCCATAGTCCCGAATGACTGGAAGAACCTGGCTGCGTATATAATCTAAAATCAACGCGTTTATATGTTGCTACAATAGTTCTGAAATGGTATGCGTATGTCGCAGATTTGAGCTAGTTCAGCTATAAACTAGAATTCTCTTTCTGACTCGCTGGCAGCTGCATCGCGAGGATGTGATCTCACTGGCTGCAGCTCCTCCAGAGACCCGCGCACAAGCGCAATCACAGTTCCAGCGACACTGGCTCCTCCCACCGAACACAGAAGTGCAGAAAGAGCCCGGGGCTAGTTGTCACACACAGGTCCTAACCCTTAAACGAGCATGAATGTCTCTCTGAAATAAGTCTGAAAATTAAATAATTGCTATTTTATCAACACGACACAACTCATAAAACATTTTTTTAATGGGCTATGAAATGTTTTTATTTTATTTTACACTAAATGGCCATCCTGGGAAAAACAGACTCTACAGTTGAAAATAAAAGCAATATTTTGAAATGAATAAAAGCAAAAGGAAAAGCATTTGTGTCAAAAATTATTTGGTGTCGGTGTTACACCTCAGGGTACAGTAAATTATACATTTAAGTGCTGAGTAATAATAATTAACTAGGCTTCATGTACATGAGTAAGTGTTGGTTTAGTTGCATAATTTATAGTTATTATGTAACATGTAACAAGGACACTGTAAACTAGAATTTTACCACATAAAAACTCTTTCTCCACAGGGAAATTAGTCACATTTAATTTATAAAATACAATTTGTAAGCCAAAATTGTTTAATTTTTTGTATGCCTTTTATGTATTTTTTTTTTTTTGTGCAGTTTCCTGAATTGTTTCAATTGTTATAGGCTTACTGTTTAAATTTTACTTAAAATTCTACAAAAGGCTTTTAGAGGTAGCTTTTTAAGACTTTAGGTATGTGCCTGACTGAATTAAAAATAAATATACTGGAGTAAACAGAGAGACGCAACAAGCCGCTCTCCCCTAGTATGGGAATTATATAAATGTAAGCAAATGTAAGTTAATGTTATTTCAAAAGTCCATTTTCATATATTAATACTTAAAACAGATTTCCATTCAGTATTTTTTGAATATAGTAAAGTGCTGCCTGTATACTGGTGTTTTGTTAGGTCTTTCTTGAGTGGATATTGTGCAGAATCAACAAATACACTCACCCTCATTTAGACTGCACATTCTTTCACAGGAAACACAACACTATTTATATTTAAGGGTGTTTGAGGCTGTTTCCACTCCACACCTGTTTGACAGACTAGGGTAATTGTCCAAGCTGCCCAAATGGGGCATTCCTTTCTTAACATTCCTTTGTAGCCTTCATGTCCATTTGCCCTGCTGTCTCATTACACTGAGAACTTCAGTTTACAAGAGTCTCTTGCACAATATACAAATGTACAAAACATAAGGACTGATGCTACCCTCATTTTTCACAACATCCGTATTGCATTACACATGGCATAACATTACGATTCCTGCGGAAACAACTGCAATGTATATTTACGTCCCCCCAATAGTGTTTTAGGCTATACGTTTTTATTGTATCAATACAATATATAATAAGCCTGTGATAATAGATAATATATAAAAGTTAAAACGATAAAGCTCAAATGATTTTCAGAAAGCTTTGTCCAAACATACAAGCACAATGGTTGCATAATCTCCTGTTCTCAGGGTCTATTCATCAGATTTATTATGCTGTTCCATGTCGCTAATTTGACAAAGCAGTTCTGTCAGCACAGAAAAGAGCTGGACCTGACCTGCACTTCATTTAAAATGTATGTAATGTTTCTCAAAGGAATAGTTCACCTCAAAAAGACAATGCATTTATTTATTTACCCACCCTTATGTTAGCTTTATGACACTCTTATTTTGTGGAAGACAAACTTCTGAAGAATTGTGCTGGTTCGTCCTTTCCATGCAATTACAATGAAGGGGCACTAAGAGACATTAAAATAAATAAAATAAAATAATCTTTGTGATTGAAAAAGCCAAATTCTGATAATCTTCCACTTCAGAGAGTCATCACCAAATCAGTCTGATTGATGAACAAACCATTCAGACTAGCTTTGTGAACTGAATCAACCAATTCATTGAAAAGGGCCAACTCAACTCACTTTTTTGAAGCTTGAAAGCTTTAGCCCTCATTCATTGCATCTGTATGGAAAACAACAACCAGTAGTATTCCTCCAAAGAAAGAAAGTAAAAAAGAAAAGCCTCTGCTACATGTTAAGTCTTGCTAGACCGCCACCTGTGTATATGGAAACCGTATTGAGGAAGTGAACAAAGACACCGAGCAGACATTCCTGCAGACTATACAGAGCCGTGGTACTGGATGACACTGAGGCCTGTCTCCAAAACAACTGAAGCTCTGAGCCACAGTTCTGGCCCACTCACTCCACACACACAGAGCAGCTACACTTCACAACACAAAGAGCGCTCACACTCCACTGTGAACAGCTGAGGTCTGTTATACTCCCAACATGCAGTGAACGTATCTCTGCTAAGGCAAGCATCGCTTTTACAAGTGCTCATTAAACTTCAGCGCATGAATGACAGTGCAACTTATTGAGAAGAGATGTGCTATTACTTACCCAAGTGATCTAACTCATGGTTTTTGCCTGGTGGATAATAAAATGGGAGAAAAATACTTGCATTGAAGACACGACCTGAGCATTCTAGAGACCAAATATCATCGAGATTTGAGGGTGGACTCTTTTTTACTTTGGCCAGTAAGTAACCTGGCAACCACATAACAACACACTAACATACTCAAAACACCACAGAACACTTCAGCAACACCCTGACAACAACCTAGAAAAACCTAGAATTGTGGGATCATTATGCAACCAGTGTACAACCACGCATAACACCTTAGCATCCGCATATCAACACCCTGACAACGCCAAGAAAACACTTGCATTGTGAGCTCTTTTAACCCTGGCCATTACTCAAACACCGTAGAAGAACTTAGCAAACACATATCAATGGCCTAGCATTAGAAAAATTAAGATCTTAACGTTACCAGAATGCAACCACCCAGAACATCCTAGCAACCACATAGCAACACATCAACATCAATGCATTCTCATCCCAAGGCGTCACTAAAATGACAATTTTGACCATGCGGATTAGATAGCGTCATCTAACTGACGTTAAAGGTAAAGCGTCAGTAAGATGACGCCCTAGGATCGCGTCATGTAACTGACGCTAAAGGGTGCCTAAAGTGTCGAATATTGAAGCATGGTCAAAATGATTCCCAAGGCATCAGTTTCATGACGCCTAGGGATGAGAATGGGCTGTCAACATACTCAGAACCAGTGTTGTGGGTAACGCATTACAAGTAACGTGAGTAATCAGATTACCTTTTTCAAGTAACTAAAGTAATGCATTACGTTTCAATTTACAATAAAACATCTCAGTAACTTTTTCAAATAAGTAACCCAAGTTACTTTGTTTGGCCATTTATTGACAGACAGCTCTCCTGTCCCTCGTGTTGAGAGAAATCGTGAGTAAGTGCAGAGGCGTTGTGTGAACATGATGCTTATTGTAGTTCTAGACTTTTATGGAAGGGCCCTTCGTGAAGGGGTCCATTTGTTCCCTTTAGTTTGGAACACCCCTACAAATGGAAGAAACCCCTTCCTGAAGTGCCCTTCAAGGGTGCAAAAATGCCGTCTGAAATTTGCCCAGTGTTGAACTTTCTTCACCCGTGTCCTATTCTTCTGAGATCCAGAATGGCAGCACATAAGAGGTTTATTAGAGCTGCACCCTCTACTGTACAGGCGTGGATTTGCATATCCTTCAGTCTGAGGCTTATTCATTTCACTTTTGTGTGAAAGAGCCTTTACATTTACCAAATAATAGAACTTTTGTGGGATTTTTTGTGTTTATTTTTTATCAAAAAACAAGCAAACAAGGCTAGCCCACATAAAAAAGTAGCCTAATGCAAAAGTAATGTAACGGATTTTAAAAGTAATGATTTCGGATCTTTACTTTATTAGGGAGTAAAGCAATATTGTAATGCATTACAAAACAACACATAGCAACACCTTAGCGATCACTCACAACAGTGACTTTTGCAAGGGAATAAACAACTTACATTTATTCAGAAATTTCCCCCCCAAAAATGTTTTTATTATTATTTTGTAGATAAGCGGTTTTATTTTAGAAGCATTTGTGGAAAATATTCTGCATGTGAAACAAAACAATATTACAGAATCATTTGGCACCGATTAAAATCAACACTGGCACAGAGTGAGATAACATTTCTACTATATTTTACATAAACACCAGCCTCATTTATCTAACCAGCGATCGTGTTTTTAAAGAAAAAAGGTCTTTGACCTTCTTGAAGATGAATGAACGCCGTTGCTACCCGACCAAAACAACACATTTCCTCTCAGAGGACTGATAGACCTGTACACCATGCCACCAATGTTCACAACTTCACTCCTGTATTTTGCCACCAGATCGGCTGGTTTGGGAAAGAACCACCAGATGAATAATTCCCTGAGGTTTGGAGCGTGTGGGACGTACAAACCAGGGCATCAAGAATCAGTGTTTTTGTGCATGTTATCGAACTAGTGCAGACTACACCCAACCCCCACTTCCTGTCTCGCTGCCAGGAAACCAGTGGCTGCATTATAACACAGTGGACCTGCACATGCATATACTATCCATAATAACATACCAGCCTGCAGCCAAGCCAAAGTAGGACTAGCCAATATTTAATATGAAATATATTATACTTAAAATATATAAAGTTGACTTCCTGCTTAAAATACCTGGATGAACACAATACACAAATTAACCATAATTCAATATAAAATAAGGATCACTCACATCCAGTATAACATGATTCTTGCATTCTCATTCTTATGACATGATCTTTATCTCCAAAAGCAAAGCATGAAAGGTCAACAGCGTTCATTACTAAGAGTCTCAAAGCCCATTTTCAAATTTAATTCAGTTCAAGTGTCGACATAAATAGCAATGCCCCATATTACTCGGCCTGGAAAGGAGAGAATTACAAGCAGTTCCAATAAAAAGAAAAATATAGTTGTACAAATGCAAAACTTACAGTTGTTGGTCGACATGGGAAATGCACATTATGCAGAAGTAGCGGGAGGAAGTGGTGTTTGCTAAGCATACGTTACCTCGTGGAGAACCACAGCCAATGAGAACACGTAAAACATCACAGACACTTTTGAATAGGTGTGACAAAAGGACTTGCTTTCAAGTGTCACTAAAATTCACAATTATTTGGATCTTGGGTTTTGATGCTTCCACACATTAATTGTGGTAAACCAAAAATAAAACATTGGCAAAAGAGTCTTTGTTGGATGCCCATTAGCTCCTGTTTGAACTGCAAAGGTCAGGACTTCTGACTTTGTAGCTTTCCAGAGACACAGTAGTGGGACTCTTGTTAAACACATCACAGCAGGAGACGTCCGGTCTCAGCAGTCATGCTAGAAACCATAGACAAAGATCAATACCAGTCTAGGTCAGAGGGACCTTTATGAAGTGTTTGTGGAACAACAGCAGACTTCGATTCGCTTGAATCGCCACTCGGCTCTTGGCAACCAACAGCAGTTTATAGTGACTACATATGACAAGCTCTAAAAAGTTTTTTTTATGGACTAATTTTATGAGCTTGACAATCCCTGGCTTTTGAAAGTTTGGGGGGGAAATAACTGCATACAGGTTTGGAACAACATGAGGTGAGTAACTAATAACAGAACTTTCATTTGTGAATATTTCCTTTTAACGTTGTTGAAACACCCAGAAGGATGTTGCACATTTCACCAACTTTCTAACGTGTGTGAGTCACTGTTTCTTGATCAGCAACTTTCTTTCCAGCAAACAGGCGATGGCTGACCATACAGAGGATGTGTTGCACAACTTTACACGCATTTAATGTGTCACATGCCTGCCTGTCATGTCAAAAACGTATTATTTATCAGAAAAATAGTACAAACTAGCTTTTTCTAAAGCAGAATAGAGCTTGCTCCATTACTCCCATAATCCTGCCATTCCCAGTAGTGATTGATGTTTTTTCCCCCTGCAGCGTTCCAGGTGAAGAGCTGCACAAACAACATTCATATTACACCTCTGGGTTTATGCAATCTAGCTACACCCCAACTGTCAGAGCAACACGTTTAGTTCTGTCCCGTTCATGTGATCATGTATGCAACTGAAGTAGATCAGAACGCCTTGCGCATAGGATTACCTGTACCAAATAACTTACCATAAAAGAAGAGTGTTCAGCACGGGCCTAAAAGTAAAATGCCGGGTCCTGCCAAACAAAACTCTTTGCTGAATGGAACAGAATATGGTTTAAAGAAAGGTGTTCAGTTGTTTACTTAAGACACCAAACCCATTCAGACATGTGTTTTTGACATGAGCCAACACATTCAAGGCTTTCAAAACGATCAAACCTGACGGGAAATTGAAAGCTTCAAGTCTTCTTACCCGAAGAGCAAAAGGCTCTTAGCCAATCTTTTCATTTACAATCTTACATTTTTTTGAAAATTTGTAAGGAGTAGCCTATGTAAACGAGTCCCGCTCAGGGGTGCGTTTCCCGAAAGCATCGTTAGCCAACTATGGTCGCAAGTTCCGTCGTTATAGAGTTCAATGGAAATTGCGATCATAGTTGGATAACGATGCTTTCGGGAAACGCACTCCATGGCGGTTAGGACCGGTAACATATATAAACTGACAAAATACCTTTTAAAAATACATAACAAAATACCTTTTAAAAATACATAAAAAATTTGTAGGTAGTATGTAAAGTCGCATGTAACTATTTAAACTGTATCCATCTGTCATTCTATCTATCTATTAAACAGGCCAGACTAAAATTACATATATTTTGCGCCAAAATGTATTCAAAAATGACAAAGTCCCAAAACGAAATCCTCTAAGACCGTGTAAGATGCCAGAGGAATGATGTAGCCTAATGGTGAGTTTGGGGGCTTTGGGTATCTTTGGTGGCACATTCAGAGACATTAAATCAATAATGCTTCATTATTGATAAGGCCAGTGATCCATCTGCAGGAAGTTAAGGATCCATTAACGTCTCATCTTACCTTCAGCCTCTCTGTACCGCAGCTCTGAAAGGAATACTGAAGCTGTACAGACCTTGACCCTCTCCAACAGAAGGTTAGACTTCACTAGTAGTAACTCAGCCAGTCAATGGAAATGATCTCACAACTGGTTCAAAAAACAAAACAGAAGCCTATTACAGTCACATATTAACAGTGTATCAATAAAAGCACATCCTTGTTTATACAGAAAATGGTCAAATATAGCAATATTACAAATACCAGGAAGGCGTTTAACATACGTACATTCTAATAAAGGGGATTAACCTTAAAAATTGCTTAAAAAGAAGAGTAATTTACTTTGTTTTGTACAAAACTGCAAAAAAACAAAAGGGGTGAACTTGATTTCTTGCTATTGAAGCGGTTTGAATGATAAGCAAGCAAAATGTAATTGAGACCTGTCCATGATTTTGACCTTGGGAATGGCAGATCCTGTATGATCCTATTATCACCTACTGCAGTACCTTCATCCCTAAGCTCCCGATGGAATGCAATCCATCTCCATGACGATAGACAACATCTCCTCACCAAGGTGTCATTCACTGTTCCCATGGGGTGAATTGTTCAAGCCTGACTGAAAACATCTCTTACAGAGTCCGCTAAGCATCCAAGAATCTGTTTTGATGGTTATTTGACTTTACATGAGCTGGAAGACACCATTAGTCTGGCTTTATTTTTGCTGGCCGCTATTGTTGAACAATAAATCACTGCACGTCAATGAGACATTCGCTGTTGTTAACTGTAGCTGGCCTGATTCTTGAATTGTTTTACTATAAATTTAGAATTGGTTATTCACTTAAGGGGGAAAAAATTATTATTCTTGCTTTTCTGAAATAAAACATTTAGGCCTCCTTAGTCCACCCAGACCCAAAAATGGATAATTCATAAACCATCATGATTATGATGTCAAAACCACCAGTTAACAGCCTATTTAGTATTCAGCAGGAACAGTGGCAATGCACTCAAAAAAGAAAAAAATATTGCTTATATTTTTATATTTATAAAAACCTTTGAAAATATAAACATAACTTAATGAAAACTTTTGCAAGGGGTAGGCAAACTTCAATGGAAAAAATAAAATAAAAATCTAAGTATTTAAAGCTGCTTTTTTTGTGTTCAACATTTACTACATTTATATACAATGAGCAAGTACATCATGAATCCATTTTCCAAACCGTGTTTTTGTCTTATCCTGAATCACTACGGTACACTTATAATAAGTGTTTATATTCTGACTATTTTAGACTGGTACGAGTCGTACCACTGGAGAGTAGCCCAGTACCTGAGTGACTCGTCATCATAGACATAAACAGAGAGAAGTAGTTCCGGCAACAATGTTCTTCCGCAAGACGCATGCAGTTCTGTTTAATAACCGCTAGAGTGCCAAAAACTACGGACTGCAGCTTTAACTATATTAACTGCACGTAACTGCATAAACTGAATTTTTGAGAAAACAATACCAGACAAAAATGTAATTGATATTTACTGAAACAAAAACAAAAATGCATTTACATTTAAACGCAAAAAAAAAAAGAAGTATATACGTATATATAAATGATATATACTTGTATTACACACAACAAACGTCTCTTGCTGGATCAGTTCCAGTCAGCGTCTAGATCTTCATCATCTATGACAGACGAGCTGAACAGTGAAAAACCTTTAAGGAGTCCTGCGGATCCTCCGGAGCTCAACTCAAAACATCTCCTCTTCTTTGAAGCATTCTCTCTGAATTCTTCCTGTCTGTCGGAGGGTTCTGTCCTCGTGTTGCCCGTCTGCAGTGCGCTGCTCTTCACACCTGTGGTTATACTTTTCCTGATCTGTGTGCTTGTGATATCCTGGTCTTCGAAAACTGTGCTTGTTGCCACTTTGTTTGTACTGCCATTTATGGCTTCTTGTGGCTCCGGTGGAGCTGGGATTGTTTCATCTCCAGTCTTTTCCTCAGCTAAGCCCGTAAAAGAGAATCTGGAAAGTTTGTCCAGAGTGGAGCTGGCCACCTTAGTCTTTGGGTGGTCTGTCTTTGGTAAGGATTGTGGGTGTTTATTAGTGTTACCATTATTCTCACCTGAAGAGAGACTGTTCAGTCTCGGCAGCAGCTGTTGTTGATGTTCAGTGTCCTCAAACGTCCCTTTCTGAGCTGTGAAAGTCATACTCTCATCATTCAAGACCTCTGAGGAAACGTCCTTGTTTTTATTGCGAGTTCCCAGTCGGAGCATGTTATTAGCTCTGCTGCCCTCTGCTGGAGGAAGTGAGCTCGACTGGTTCTCCCTCTCGGCCTGTTTATCTCGCATCTGAGGTGAGCTAGGCTTCGCCCCCTCTTGCACCGCCACTTTGGCACTTGTGTTAGAGTTCACAACCGACTGATCGGCATGACACATTCTCTCTCTCGGCTTGAATGTGAAGTTTGTGAGTCTCCTGCGTAAATCCTCTCCACTCTTGGCTCTGAAATCAGCCTCCTGGTCTATGTCAGGAAGACTGATGGTTGTGTTTTTCCTTTTTGAGGGTTTCTTCCCTGTCATGGGTGTACTGTGGGAGAACACATCATCATCAGTTCCTCCTAAAACTGTTTCTTCGTTCAGCAGGAGGGCCGCTTTCATCTCTTTCAGTCGTTTGCCTCTGAGCTTTTTGGAGCCCCTTTCCACTACAGCTTCAACCGTGGATTTATCCTCATCCTTCTCCCACGCAGAACCCTTGCGGCGTTTGGAACGGCTGTTGCTAGGCAACACTGAACGGCGGAGTGTGGTCGTAGTGTTCTGTGTGGAGGTGTGAATGATGGAGCCGGAACCAGTCGGGCTGGATAAGGAGTGGAACCAGTCCAGGTCAGCGTCCGAATTAGACGTCACATCACGGTTACCGTGATTCTCAACAGCTGCACGCTCAATGGTGAGGTCACTATGTGGTTCGGTACCTTTAGGGGAGTCCAGTCTTCTGCTCTGTAGACTATAAGAACATAAAAGCCTTTATTGCTTTGATTTAGTCTGAGCTATGAATAATAATAAAAAGAGAATTAATATTTTCTCTTTTTATTTGTCTTATCTTATCATTTTAGTGTAGAATGAGTAAAGCTGCTTGTTGTCAGGATGATACAAAGTTTCACAAGTGTTTGTTGTATGAAATTTTTAGGCTGTTCTGCCTCAGCGGTCTAACAGTATTTGTCAATATCAAAATGATCGAGATGGCCAATCAAATCAAAGGCGGCGGGTCTTACTGTCACTGTCACAACGCAACGAGGGTTCGCAGAAAGATGTAAGTAAATGTAAGTATTAGACAACTGTTTTACGATAGAAATGTTCAGTGACCGGCAGTAATAGCCTAGTGATGCAAACTACTCAACTTTTTATTCAATTTCGCCATTTTGATTTGAAAATATGCCCTTCTGCTGGTAGGACACATACTAAATGAATTTGAGGCCTACTATTAAACGTATAATTAAAGCTGCAGTCCGGCATTTTTCCTCTTTGTCGCCATCTCTGTTCGAAATCTGCAATTGCAGTCATTCGCGGAATTATCAACTTTACGTTAGTTGTAGTTCAACACCCTCGACACGGCACAGCGCGGATGAACACAGTGTTTGAGGAGAGTGTGCAGCTGTCAGTCACCGCGCCGATGTGGATATTGTCATTCAGAATCACAGATTATTCTTTTTGGAAGTATGACCAACATAAGAATTTTCACCGGGAAATGTCATCTGAACTAGTAAGAAACATTCACTTTTGTTCTGGTTCTGACATTGCAGTAAATCGCGCTGATTAAATCTAACAATTGCTTATAAGTTATCATTTCACGCAAAACCGTGCAAAGTAGCTATACTATGTTCTCAAATTGTTAATGTTAACAACGTCAGCAAGCATTGCGTGACTACATCATGTAATGTCCTTCCGATATTATCCCTGTTTTCGCATGGGTCCGGTTGCAGTCTCTTTTTTTCTGTAGCCACTCCGAAGACCGAACGAAGTCTTTCGCATTTTACAGCGGGTGAGTCTCTAGTTGTCACTGATGATGATCGTCGTTTGAACCTTTCTGGATCCGCCATCAAATTGATAAGTTTAATTATATCAAGTGCTGTGAGAAAAGGCTATAAATCTCTACCTCCAACATCCTCACACGCAATATAGCTTATACTAACCGAGACTCCTTCTTTATGTGTACAGATGTGACGTAATGACGCAAAGACATGCTCGAATCTCCCGCGGAAATCCACCAGTACCACTAAAATTAAAAACATTATTACAAGCTTACCGTTTTGCATCGAGCTAAGGCAAGCAGATAGTTTTGAACACTGGCTGGTTATGTATTTTATCAAATATGTATTTTGGATAATTTTGAACCCAAAAAAAGCTACGGACAGCAGCTTTAAACGCAAATAATTTATGTAATATAATACATTTACCATTTAACTGATTCATACTACTAATGAAATATTAAATAAAATAAATAAAAATAATGCTATGCTAACTGATTTACTACATAAGTAATATATGTATTATTGAATATTTTGATATAATCACATAAACATTTATGCAATGCTAATTTAAAATCACAATTTAATTTATTCATACTGCTAATTAAATTTCATCAATTTAATATTTGAAAAAAAACATAACCAGTAATGAAATTAAACTTGCAATTAAATATTATTTTGAAGGAAGTCTCTTATGCTCACAAAGGCTGCATTTATTTGATCAAAATACAGTAAAAACAGTAATATTGTGAACTATTATTACAATTAAAATGTACTGTTTTCTATTTGAATATAATTTAAAATGTAATTTATTCTTGACGTTTCAGCAGCATTTACTCCAGTCCCACATGATCCTTCAGAAATCTTAATATTAAATATTTTTTTAGTTCATATTTTTGTGAAAACAATGATGCATTTTAGGATTCTTTGCTCAAAGTTCAAATCAACAGCATTTTTTGTAACTCATTTTTTAAATCAAATTTAATTCATCCTCGCTTAAAAAAAGCAAAGATTAATTTATTTTTTAAAAACAACTTTTGAATGGTAGTGTGTGTATGTATGATTCACTTTACCTCGAGAGTCTTAGCAGTTCTTTGTGTAAGATCTCAGTCAATCCCAGCCTCTCGAGCACAACCTCACACTGTGTTTTATACTGTTCACAGGGGTTGTCAGGAAAAGAGGTGTGTAGAGCATTCACATTTCCAAGTAGAGCGCCTCCCTGAGGTAAAGAAAAAAAATGCTTTTCCACTACTCAAAAATGTAATATCGCTTCAGGAATATAGAGTAGCATCAGCATTGCTAATAAAACTACCTGCATGGAGCACTCCATAACAGACACCACAACAACAGCGTCCTCTACAGTCACCGTCTCTCTGAACATCAGCCTGGCATGAGCTGAAACACAGACACACAGTCAGATACGTTTATGAATATGGCTTCTAGCAAATAACAACTTATTGGGGAAAAGTAGAGTGAATAAGATCAGATAATATGCTAGATGTTAGCATCTGACCTTCTGCTAGGCGGCTGAGACTCTCCAACATGCGGATGGTTGTCCTCGCAGCATTTCGGCTGTCACTCTGTCTCTGCAGCTGATAGTAGCGGCTCAGGATGGCGTTTGCTTCCTGTGTTATGCAAGGTTTAAGAGTCTTGATCAGGCAGAAATAGGCCCTCATCTTCTCCATACTCCATAAACATGAAGACTCGCTTGGAGCTCCTGTGGGGAAATCACGAAGGAAGTTGAGATAAAGAGAGAGATGCTAAGATGAATATTTTATAAATACGCAACAAATGGCAAGGCTTCGCCATTAACTTCTAACTCAGTATCAAAGAAATTCTAAGCCAAATGAGGGGTGATCCAGCCCTCGAGGGAACAAGCTTTCCTATCAAAGTGGCATCACTTGAGAAAATAACGAAGACCGAACAAGCAACAAATCCCACAAGAGAGGCACGAACCAGCAATCGGGCTGGATAGAGGTGCGTTTGATCCAATAACACTTTAGATGATGCCTTACAAACTACATTTTCTTGTATGCCATGTAAACAAAAACATGTAAAATACCAAGTTAAACATGTAAAAGGTACCAAGTTAAAAATGTGTAAAAAAACATTTCATAAGAATGGTCTTGAAATGCAAAGGCATTTATATATAAAGACCCACTTTTACTGTGAAAAATTTAAATATTATAAATGTGTCAAATATTACATTTACAATTTGATTTATATTATTAATTAAATTAAATGTAGTATTTAAAATAAAATAAAATGTATATTTACTTCATAAATATATTATTATTATTAAAAATAATAATATCATATACCGGTATATATATATACTGTATATATATATATATATATATAAAGTTACCATTTATTAAAATATTATTAATTTATAAAATTTTATGTCAATCCAAATATATACTTAAGTCCAAAATAAATATACAAACCTGAATAAATAAAATATTAATTGTAAATATATATATGTGTAAATCTGAATATTCAGTTATAGGTCTGAATATATAAATGTACATCCTAATGTATAATTGTAACTATATATTTGGATTATTTAACTTTCTTTATTTTCAGGATATATAAATATATATTGAGATTTCATATAATTATTTCCAGTTTGTCCCTTCATATTATTATAACATAACATAACATTAATATTATATTAGTCTGATATTACAAAACAAAGCTCTTCTCTGGGACAAACCTTTGTTCTGTAGGATGAAAGAGGAGATTATTTTGTCCCATTCTGGATTTTTAGTGTCCAGCAGAACCAGCACAAGGTCAAAGCGGCTCAGGAGGGGGCTAGCGAGAGCCACGTTCACGGAAACAGACACATTAGGGTCATAATGCCCCTTTGGGTTAGTAGCTGCCAGGATGGTGGTCCTTGTGTCCAGTTTGCACACCATTCTACAAAAGAGGAAAGTGGGAGATTTAATGTGATGCTCACAAGCTTTTGGATAATAAAAATGCAAGAAATGCATCAGTGAAAATTGGTATTCCCCCTCTAGACTCGTGCGTGTGACCTTATCTCCTCACCCAACACTCACCCAGCTTTAGCCACACTGATGGTTTGTTGCTCCATGGCCTCATGGATGCTGGTGCGGTCGTGCTCTTTGATGCTGTTGAACTCATCGATGCAGCACAGACCTCCATCAGAGAGAACGAGTGCTCCCGCCTCCAGGTGCCACTCTCCTGAGTCCTTGACAGCCGCCACTGTCAGACCTGACCAGAATTTCACAATCATGCAAACGATGATGCAACGGCACTAATTTAACTGCTTACTGCACAATAGAAATTGAATATTGCCTAGTATTTTTCTAAATAAATAAATACAATGTATGTGTATACAGTAATGTAGCAAACTTTGTTGCAAACAAATGTGCAACAATATTTAACTTCATAGGAAGTGGGAGGGAAAATTTACCCATCAGACATTGCAAACCACTTCAGTACAATACAAAGTTTGGCTCTGGCATTTTTTGTTTGTTTAATTCATCTCAGGACTGTTACAAGTCAACTATGTAACAGTAACAGTAAAGAAACCAAATCATATTTTTCTTTATATTAAACACCTATTTATCACTTATTTTAATCACAAATTTTAGGGGTCCTGAGTATGAAGAATTGAACAATTCATATTAATTACATATACACTAAGTTTTTTAAAATGATTTTGATAGAAGTCTAAGTTATTGAAAATGTATACTTTTTTAAAATACATTTTACATAATTGTTTTCTTTCAAAATATAATTTAAAACATTTATTATTATCAATGTTTAAAACAGTTGTTCTGCTTAATATTTTTGTGGAAACTTACATTTTTTTAGGAATCTTTGATGAATAAAATGTGGAAATATACATATAATATAAATAGAATATATATATACATTTCTTCACAAAAGTATATTATGTCATTTAAAACCACTAATCTGTGCATATCAAGGTGTTGCAGGGAGAACTAATGAATTGTGTCAGGTAAAGTGAACTTCTGCTTCCTCAGTGATTATCCTGCACATTTTGAATATATATACAGAAATTCTGCATACTGTGCACAGTAGAAATACCACAAGCTTAAAAAAATAGTGAAGTACTTCAAAAAGCGAAGTATATATACAATTATTCTATTAACCCCCCCATGTGGAACCTGCGTTAGTAGATCCGATTCCTGCAGTGAGCACGGAGCGTGGTGTAATCTTAGCGGCGTACTTCAGAAACTGAGACTTCCCAGTGCCTGGATCGCCCACGAGCAACAGATGAGACTCTCCTACACAGAGCGCATAGTTTGAGTCAGAGCTATTCAGATTTATTCACAAGAGTAATACACTTTTCAAGCACACCTCTCAGATTTTTTCATGATAAGGCCAAATGTCAGACTATCCATTATGTGGAGTGTGAACACATACCTCTCACCTTAGTTCCAGACGCATCTATTCTCTGTACCCCACCTGCCAAAACCATAGCAACAGCCAGCTTGACGACGTACATGCCAAACACCTGAGGGCAAAGACTCATCAAGATCTCATTCCTGCCTTCAGAATGTCAAGAGAGAGAGAGAGAGAGAGAGAGAGAGAGAATGAGAAAGAGAGATTATGATTAATAAAACCACACTGAATCCCATGAGCTGTCCCACATTATGAGTGGTTGCTAGGGTTTTCTGGGAGGTTGCTAAGATGCTTTGAGCAGTTGCTTGAGTGTTCTAGGAGGTTGCTGAGGGGGTTGATGGGTATTCTAGTATGCTTAGGTGATTTAAGCAGTTTCTAATCCATCACCAGGTGGTTCCCTACTCACCCTCCCAACTTTTTGTAACATGCACCTTGTGAAAATCATTCATTTGTATGGAAGCTTGTTTCGCCACATAATAAAAAATTAAAAAGGTAATTGTGACTTTTTATCTCACAATTCTGACTTTTTTTTTTCTCAGAATTGCGTGAGTTTCAAAGTCCGAATTGTGAGATATAAACTTGCAATTCTGAGAAAAAAAATGTTTTCCCCCTCAGAATTAGACTTTATAACTCTCAATTGCGAGTTTATATCACAATTCAGAACTGCGAGATATAAACTTGCAAATTGTGAGAAAAAAGTTATATCTCGCAATTGTGAGCTAAAAAGTCGCAATTATCTTTTAAATTGTTTTATTCAATGGTGGAATCAAGCTTCCATACATTTGACTGTGTAGAAAAGTAATAAAACACTTTTCCTAAAAAAAAAATACATGGTTTGAAGTATCATTCATGTGCTCAGCAGCACAAACGACACAGTATGAGTTACATGCCAACATTTAATACTTACTTTCAGTCAGAGATTTGTTCAAATCCCTAATCCAATAACCCTATGAGCAATAGTAGCCTAATAGAGATGTTGTGCCTCAGCAAACACCACTGGAAACAGATTACAACACTGTTTCATGGTCCTCATCAACTCAACTTCCTCTACAAGGACTGTAATTGAGTTTGGATAGCAATAAGAAAAAGAAAGGAATCTTTTAAATGCCGAGGAGACATGGAATTGAAAATGCTGTACTGTTTATTTGTACTACTAGACTGGGTTTCCCAGATTCAATATTTAAAGAGACACCAACTGTGTACCGGCAATGGGGTCATGTTTGTGACTGTCCCAGAATTCTTCAAATTCCTTCTGAATGTCTTCCAGCACCAGTGCTGTGGTGAACTGCTCATTATTGACCTCGATATAGTTTGCTTTCAGCACAATCTCCACATCACAGCGGCAATCCTGAAACATCGGCTTCCAGCGCTGATACACAACCCCATACACTGTGATGTCATCGCCTGCGAGAAACACATGACAGCATCATGAGGGAAACAGACACATGATGTTGCCCTAAGGGATGTTACTATTATTATATCAGTAGAAAAAAGTAAATATAAACAGCAAGCAAACACAGTGTTTAAAAAATGAACCGCATGAACTGTCCAGTATAATATAATGTTATAAGCTGTATAGGAAAAATGTTCTCCATTCATTTTATTGTTATTGCACTAAAGCACATAATTGAAACCAACAGAAAGTTTAATTCTGAATTAATTCCTAAGGAAATCTAATAAAGCCAGTCATGTACACTGTATTACCGGTGAGCAGGACTGAGCAAAGATCTCATTCCTGCACTGTCAAGTTGTAAAAGCCAGTAAATACATGAAATAAACTGGACTCGATTTCCACCAATACTCTGCAGTTACCTGATTTGCATCTGTCCACAAGATCATCCTCCAGGATGATAAGCATGGATCGAGGGATACTGCCCACCGACAGTTTCTGTACCTGTAAGTGAAAATGCACTGAACAGGACATTTACTTTGACATGTAGAAATAAACACAAATTCTTTTTTCTTAGATGGGTAAATGAGTTTACCCCACATCTACATTTATGCATATTTTAATTATAATTTTTTTAAATTATAATTTTAATTTATTTTACTTATTCAACGTAAAAATAAAAATAAAATCCCTTGAGCTGCATATCAAGACCTTTTATTCTGTCATTTGGCAGCAAAAGACTTATAGTATATAGAGTGTACAAGTTGTATGGACTACATTTAAAATGTCATTTTAGAGCTCAGGTAATATGAAAAAGAGTGGTCAATAGATTTGTCATTTTTGTGTGAACTATTTCTTCAGCAGCAGGTTGCTCCAGGGTGCCTGTCCCTGAATAAAGAACACCCCTGGTGCCTCACCTGCTCTTGGATTTTGATCTCCTGGTAGTCCTTGCAGGCGGCCGGAGGGGCGTCACTCCCTGACAGGCAGGTGAGTTTGAAAGAATTACATCCATCCTCATTGGGGCAGCTGGTGGGTGGAGTGAAGGTGTAAAACTGCTCAAAAGAAGCCTGCACGGAGAACACGTGCCTGCATTTATTGCACATGTAGTCTCTCTCATACTCCAGGACTTTGGTCACACTGGTGCGGATGACTGTGCCTGTGACGGACAGGAAGTGGCCCACATCTCTAGCTTTAGGAATGTGATCTCTGGTCAGCTCGGGACACATAGGTAAACCTGCATATATGTAGTCCATCAGTTATTAGGAGAGAAAGATATATGTATATTCAGTTGATGACAGTTTACATTATTGGGCGGACTATTTCTCTTTAAGGAATAAGCAAGCATTATATTAAGCACTAGGTGTCAGTGTTATTCCACGACAGTCTTTTAGGGCTCCCGTTTCAGCAGTTATGGTCTCCAAATGCTAGAGGGCACTGCATATTCATTAATGAAAAGTTCAAAAGCGGAGTTACAGTCTCTTGCACTTTCTTGCATAATAAATCAACTCGGAGCACATTCAATATTTGAATATGGCCTGGCCCAGCATGGTTGCATCATAGAAAAACATAAAAGAAAGAAGAATCCAATGTCAAAGTTACTTAGGAAATAAACTTCCATTAATTTTTTTCCTCTCCCCTCTAACCACAGATACAGACTGTAGTAGCTGCAGAGAAAATGGGTTTGAGTTAAGTGTGTTTATTCGGAGTGTGAGTCACGTCTGCAGGGCTACAGATGAAGAGCGTGTAATTACAGGTGACGGCAATCATCTCTACAGGACGTGAGAGAAAAGCACTTGGCTTCGCCACAATGCAATGCAATCCATCCCACATACCTCAGGGATCAAACACAAACCTCCCTTCTCTGCCTACACGTCATCTAAAACAATCTTCATACTCTTCCTGTGCACGTCATTCTGCAGTTTTTAGATAAGCAGATTACGACCGCAGAAATACTGAATATTCATGATATATTCCTGATCATGGTTTTGATTCAAATACGCACCTTTGTGAATTTTTTTATTATTTTAATGATTTTGACCATTAGATTTCCTAAAAAGACTGTCATTAGACATTTACATGAATCAGTTCAAACAGTACAAACGTTTATTAATTGATTCAACGATTCAAAAATGTTCAAAGGCTCCCAGTTTTCATGTATTATAAATTTTCATTATTTGTAGGTAAAATAATATTTAACTACATATTAAAATATAAGTTAAATATATTATACATTACACACATTGTTCAAACGTTCAGGCTCAGTCAGATTTCTGAAAGGAAATAATACTTTTATTCAGCAAGGATGAATCATTTTTTCTCAAAAGTGACAGTAAATCATCTATGATGTTACAAAAGAAACAACTAAACAAAAAAATGAATAGCTTTTGAACTTTCTTTTTATCAAGGAATTCTAAAAAATCCCCCCCCCCCCAGGACTGCAGAGACACCACCTGGATACACTATTTTTCTCTCTAATGACCTTCACCAAAGCATGAAAGCATTCAGACACATGACGTGGTTGTTCATCGCGATATGGCCAACGGTCTATGTGCTTTTTATGGCTGCGTGTCCTATTTTCAGACCCCCTTTTATATTCACAGCACGCTGGATCTATGAGTGGAGTCTGCACTCAGGCTATTTATAACTCTCCCATTGTCCACAAAACAGGATAAAACATCCAGGGAACAGGAAAGGTCAGTCAGCTGATTATTGCTGACACACTCCCTACAGCAGTCTTCTTGGCTGAATCCATCTTCTAGACACAGATAACAATTACATGGGTTTAAATGAGTGCTGCTGGCCCATGACACAACGTTAGGGTGTTGCTATGTGTTTGCAATGTGTTTTAAATAGTTTTTAGTGAATTGCTACGTGGTTGCTTAGCTCAAGTCAAATAGCCCACCTAAAATCTCTATATGACTTGCGTGCCTCCATACTCAAAGCAAGAACATTTGCCTATGAAAAGTTTCTTCAAAAATGATCCTTTTACGTTCCACAGAAAATATAACAGCATATGATTCGGAACAACATACCAAGCAAAAACTGACAGAATTTCCCTGAACTATTCCTTTGAAGCCTCATTCAGCTGTTCTTTTCTCAGAAAGCATGTGCCTGTCCGACCTCTCACATGACACATCCTCCCTCTCCTCAGATCCGGATCTATACCCTTCCCGCAGAGCCGCTGCTCATCTTGTTGTTACATCATGCAGTGTTTGCGCTCACACCTGACCACCTTCTAAAAGCTTCATCTGATCTCTCTCCAGCTCCTGCACACCGCGAGCCAACATAACGAGACTGTTGTTACAGAGAAGAATACATCAGCATATCATGCAGGTTATATGACACTAGATCAGAGGAAGCAACCATGATAACAGATAACAGTTCACGGCAGGACAAATGAGCTGTCTGCCACGGTGTGCACGGTCTAATTGCCTGTAGTGGGAAACAGCCTCTGTGTTGCATTGACAAACTAATAGGCTGCAAGCCTTCAAGAGCAAATGAAGCAGACAGTTGGAGGCTTTATGGCAGCAGATCTACCAGTTACACAAAGAGAACAGTCAGCCATATACAAGCCACTTATGATCACTGGAGGTACTGTTTACTGTTGTGCACAAACAGGCCTAATAGCTGTAACATTTATAGCATATTCTCTGGAGTTTACAGTATATAGAGTACATTACTGTCGGGCCAAACACACTTTAGTACCTCCTATTATATGTGGATACACCTGAGAACAATTTTCATTAATGAATCAATGCCAACACTTTCATGCTTAACTGATCTCTCTTTCTCACTCTCTCCCTGAAATGAAGTATAAAATATGAATTTAAAACATTTTTCATTTAATATTTTAAAATGTGAATATGAATATGAATATACAACATTAATATTTATTGATATTATACAATAATAATATTTGGTGCAAGGAAATAGTTCATGTTATCATGTTTTGAAAATACTTAATGAAAAATAAGGACCAAGCTTTACAGGTACGAGATTAGTTGAAATTAAAAATGAATATACACAGAAACAAAATATTCACTTAAATTCTATGTATTAATCATTACATAAAAATATATAATATAATGTTTTATAAATAAATAAATGTAATATAAAAACTTTTTATATATTATATAATATTTAATAATGATCAAATAATAATGCACAATAATATTTTTATCTAAGGTAATAATTATATACAAATGTAATCAAGTTATGAAAATACTTAAAGATATGATTCAATCTTTACTGTACAGCTAAAACAAGATTAGTTAAGATTAGAAATAAATATACAGAGAAAAACATTATTTACTTAAATTCTAAATAACTAATGTTTTATAAAAATCACTAATAATTAAATAAAAAATATTTTAATATAAAAATATAACATTATGTATTCATTATTACATTATAATAATATGTTGCATAAGGTATTAATTATATATAAATGTAATAATATTTTGAAAATATTCAAGATAAGATTCGAGCTTTATTGTACAGGTAAAATGAGAATAGCTGAGATTAGAAATCACTTTACTTACAATTAAAACAAACAAATATAATACATTTATAAAATTGAATAATACAATTATTTGTTATAGTCAGTGTAAAGCGTTACTGATTATTGTCCTATTGTTATTTCATTCAATTTTTCCTCTTTATTGATTGATTTGGATTTTTTTTTTTACACATAATATTTTTTCTTATATTTTCCCCTGATAATAAAGGTGAATAAAGGTGGAATGTGCAATTACTGCATCACTAGCTTTACCAAACAAAAACACCATAATAAAGCTATTTTCCCAACAGTTTTCTAAAAACACTCCTCAAAACTCATGTTATTGGTGGTTGTGTCAGGCTGGTCAGGAAGTTGCACAAATATACAGAGCAAATGTATAAAATCCTCGTTGTCGAGCCCTGATACAGGTGTCAGTGTAAAAGAGTGGATGTTCTCACACTTGCTTACCTGATATACGAACATGTAGATTGTGTTTGAGGCTGAAAGTCCCCTGCAGTGAGGAAGAAGTTTGAGATATGGTCTGAGCCGCTCTGTGCAGGGCATTGTCAAATATAGGCAGGACCTGGCTGGGGAACGCATTGAAACACTCTCCAACCTCCATATTGTCCTCGAATAAGGTCATGGCATTCACTACAACAGGATAGTGAGTATCTTCACTGGCCTCCTGGAAGATCTGTAGGACATCATTCTTGTGGTGCTCCATCACATAAGTCTCAAACACCAGCCCTATCAAGGACACCTGATCCGGACTGAGCATCATGAGCCGGATCACTTAGACAAAGTATTCTGGAAGAGAGCAGCGGATGATGGGTATGTGTCTGTATATAACTTACTACAGTTCATCTTTACAAACCCTTTCACACTCTTGTCTCATGGTAGCTGATACATATACAAATTTATTAAGGAACATTTTTAAATTTGATAGAAATTCCTATGACAAAAATTATCCTTAATATTTCTAGGTTTTTAATGATGATGAATGGCCAATTTTAAATAATTATCAATTGATCTGTAGTTCATATTAATGCAAAAGTATGAATTAAATGTTGCACAATATTTCCCTAACCCCGCCCATGGTATATGGTGGGGTCCGGATAACAGGAAAGTACCCAAATTCCATATAAAACATGTATTATTTCGTTTCTTTTTATTTAATATTTAAAAAATGACAAATATGTATATATTTGAATACATATTCCTCTGTTAAATAGTATTTTTATAAAAAAATATAAAGGTTTCATGCTGTTTCTTAACTAATTTGAGGTCATAAAATTGCATTAATAAAAGTGTATAAACAATTATACAAAAGTGATGATTAAAAAGCTGTTACTGCCTGACATGTAGCTACTTTATTAGTTCAGAATACCATGCATTTAACAAACATTCAAACCATTTCCGTTGTCCTTATGCTCTCTTGAGCAAACTTCTACAAACAATAGAAACCTACAAGAATAATAAAGAGCACTGTTAATATTTAATTCCCTACAGTGCTGTATTTGACATACCTGGGTCAGGGTGGACGAGCAGCAGTTATGTACATTAATTAACAACATTCACACATGGGTGTTTCTTCCTGTCCGTGTTTTCAGATTTGGCGGTTTATTCTTCCTCTTTCTGGATTGTAGGGGAGCACGTGATAACAAACTATTACTTTTAGCACGAGATATTTCATTCTAATCCCGTTATAATACTGTAAAAGTAGTTTACCTTTCATATGCTTTGTTTTTTTATGTCTATATTGGCGCTGATAAATGATATGGTATGTAATAAATAATAACCCCCCCGTTTTTGGACTTGGTATAAACCAGTAAACGGATAACGGATGTCGACGACGTATCGCATCTCCCTCTGACCGCCAGTATAAAAGTCCCTTTAGTTTTATGGAAATTACACTGATAATGGACTTTTAATCGCGATTTTTGTGTATTTTATTTATTTAAATAATCATAAGGGAAAATGTATTCAATTATATTCTAAATAACTTTAGAATGTTATACATAATGTACACTATTTAAATTCATTAAATGGAATTATTAACATACTGCAAAATTAATAATTATATATTTAAATTATTACATTACATTTTAATGCAACAAACTCATTAAATAAAAAAAAATCTTATTATGCTTGTAAATGACAAGCACATTTAATTTTATTGAAAATTTACAGCTAGGGAATGTATCACTTTTGGTTTCTCTTATGTCCCATTCTGCAGGTCATAAACACTTTTTTATAATGAAAAATAAATTAAAGCTACACTTAAAGCTACACATAAACTTACCTCTCATCTCTGATTATGGATTCGCCGTTGCAAGGGTAATTGTTCTTATATCAAGAAAAAGCCAAATGACAATAAAAGTGTTTATTGTTTCTTCTTTCAGGGCAATATGTGTTGATGTATATGAAAATACAGGCATTTTAAATCATATGTTCTTTGCTTTTGGTTCCTTGAATGGTAAAAGTTCACTCACATAACAGACACACTTTATTAAATGTCACAATAATTATTTATTCTTACGCATACACCAGTAATATAAATATAAAATATGCATTTATTTTAAAATTAGTGAGACATCATTATATCTGTGTTGAGACATCCATACAAACAGTTTAATCCTACCAAAATTGATAATGCAGCTGTAACAAAGTCAGTACGGTGGCATTCTAAAATTAGATACAGAGGAGACAATACTGTTTTTTTCTCTCTTTTAACAAATAGTAATTAGCAGCGTATGCACCAATCTATAGAAACTGCGGTAAATGAAATGTCAAACATACCTATCATCACTGTAAAAACAAGAAATCCATTCACAGTGGGAAGAAAAAAAGAACAAATGAAAGGATGAGTCGTTAAATAATGTATTACTTTTTTGTCTTTTTTGTTTGGTTTGGTCGACATGCTCTTTAATTGCAAAAGTCAGAAGGAGAAGTACTGAGCGAACCACTCTTGTCTCTGGGGGTCTGGAGAGGTTACGGGTGATTCTTCTCCTTCAGGAGGGCTGAGGACAAAAACAGAGAGAGACAGAGATAAAGACAAAGAAACAGAAAGAAAGACAGTCAGAGACATGGAGAGAATCACAAAACCACTGTAAACTGCAGTCTGAGTTTCAGTACTGATAGCATAGCAACCACTGGATTGTTGTGTGTTCATGTGTTTTTAATGTACATACGTGTTTGTGTGTGTGTGTGTGTGTGTGTGTGTGTGTGTGTGTGTGTGTTTCCCAGGAACCGAGTGATATCAATAGGCCATTGCACTTGCAAAAAAGTACTGGATTTATATGATGTATCATGTAAATACCATGGTTATGAATATGGTTATCATTTAGTAACAAATTATGGCATCACTACTAAAAAAAGAACATATCTATTATTTGTTAAAGTGTTTATCCCGTCAGATAAAATAATAATACAAATTAAAAATTAATACTTTTATTCAGCAATTAAGCATTAAATTGATCAAAAGTGACAGTAAAGACATTAATAATGTAACAACATGTCTATTTAAAATATTTTTTTTATTCATGAAAGAATACTATAAAAACATGTATCACTATTTCCACAAAAATATTAAGCAACACAACTTTGTCCAACATTAATAATAATCAGAAATGTTTCTTGAACATGAAATCATCATAATTATTAGAATGATTTCAGAAGGATCATGTGACTAAAGACTGGAGTAATGATGATGAAAATTCAACTATGACAGGAATAAATTATATTTAAATATATATTAAAATAGAAGTAATTTTAAAATGTACAAATATTTCACAATTGTATTTTTGATACAAAAAATATATGATATATGCTTCTTTTTTTTTAGTAGATAAAACGTTTCTTTAACAAGTTCTCTGCAAAAAAAAAAAAAAAATCAATTTCTCTCAAGGTGAAGTCTGCTGTGTGCGTCACACTTCACCTTCCGGACCAGAACCCGCTTTCAATCCTGATTAATTTAGCCCTCATGTCAACGTTTATAGAGACTTTTTTATTTATTTCTCCCTCACAACTCTGCTCTTTTAAAGCATAAACACACCTCTAGAATATTACATTGTTTAGTCAGAAGAAAGAGTTCCTCTAAGCTGAACGGTTTCTTTCAGTGTGCTTGAAATGCTGACTGACTGATGTCTGGGCTTCTAACATTGACTCAGAAAGTACTCGAGTTTCACGTCTGGAAGTTTGGAGATTCAGAGGTCCTGTTTACACCTGGTATTTAAATTCGTCTCTTTTGTCCACTTCCAGAAAACAGAAAACATATGGAGAGCATCATCTTTCGTTTCTGCTCTGACAGCCACAAGACCGCGCCGAACGCTGTGAGTGCGTTAGAAATCAGGAATGGCGAGAAAATATTCTGCTTGGTACGTTTTTCGCCTTCAAACCAAACTTGGGTCACTACGAAAGGAATCCGGTCGAATGTGTTTTTTGAATACCTCTGGAAGTGTTTGAAAGTGGACAAGCTCAAAATGATTTAGACCCCGTTTACACAGCATTTAGCGTCATCCACTTGTGATCCGGTCGACCAAAACGCTTCTTAATACCAGGTGTAAACAGAGAGAAGAAGGCAAGAGAGATGGTTGGAGCTCTTCAAACTGAATTGTCTGTCTTTCTGTATCAATCCATGCATCCATCCATCCATCCATACATCCATCCATGCATCCATCTATACATCCATCCATGCATCCATCTATACATCCATCCATCCATCCATGCATCCATCCGTGCATTCATCCATCCATCCATGCATGCATCCATCCATCCATCCATCCATCCATCCATCCATCCATCCATCCATCCATCCATCCATCCATCCATCCATCCATCCATCCATGCATCCATGCATCCATCTATACATCCATCCATGCATCCATCCATCCGTGCATTCATCCATCCATCCATCCATCCATGCATCCATCCGTGCATTCATCCATCCATCCATCCATGCATCCATCCATCCATCCATGCATGCATCCATCCATCCATCCATGCATCCATCCATCCATCCATCCGTGCATTCATCTATCCGTGCATTCATCCATCCGTGCATTCATCCATCCATCCATGCATTCATCCATCCATCCATCCATCCGTGCATTCATCCATCCAACCGTGCATTCATCCATCCATCCATCCGTGCATTCATCCATCCATCCATCCGTGCATCCATCCATCCATCCATCCGTGCATTCATCCATCCATTCATCCATGCATCCATCCGTGCATTCATCCATCCATCCATCCATGCATGCATCCATCCATCCATCCATGCATGCATCCATCCGTGCATTCATCCATCCATCCATCCATCCATGCATCTATACATCCATCCATGCATCCATCCATCCATCCATCCATCCATCCATCCATCCATCCATCCATCCATCCATCCATCCATCCATCCGTGCATTCATCCATCCGTCCATCCATCCATCCATCCATGCATCCATCCATCCATCCATCCATCCATCCGTGCATTCATCCATCCGTCCATCCATCCATGCATCCATCCATCCATCCATCCATCCATCCATCCATCCATCCATCCATCCATCCATCCATCCATCCGTGCATTCATCCATCCATCCATCCATCCATCCATCCATGCATCCATCCGTGCATTCATCCATCCATCCATCCATCCATCCATCCATCCATCCATGCATCCATCCATCCATCCATGCATCCATCCATCCATCCATCCATCCATCCGTGCATTCATCCATCCGTGCATTCATCCATCCGTGCATTCATCCATCCATCCGTGCATTCATCCATCCATGCATCCGTACA